TGTTCGAATTTAATTCGAACAAATTCGAAAAATTCGAACAAAACATTCGAAATAGAAAGCCACTTTCAACCACTTTCAGCCTCATATCTCCCGCACCCTTATAGCTATCGAGACGCAACCACCCCTATGCACGAATGGAGACTTGGGGCTACCACCACATACAAACACCATTCACGTGCGATGTGTAGTTTTGGCGAAAAAGTGAAATATAGGGACATACATGTCCATTTATATATATATAAATATATATATATATATAGATAAAACATGTATTCATGCAAATTCAATAACAATTATATTACATCATTTAATACAAAACACATTGCTTTCAGCTTCTCTCTTGAAGTCACATGAATGAGATTGGAAATACAAAGTCACATGAGCAGAAGCACATGTTAGCCGCAATACTTATGACATCAATTTTATCATAACATTGTTGGTGATGTGCCAATGACTAACTCCAACTCAAAAAAATTACACTTTTTCTTATAGTCAGTACTTCATATGCTGTGACAATGCCAAATGATTAGTTAAGACAGTTGATTTGCACATTTAAAACAGAAGTTAATATTGGATTTAACTAAAACTACATAAAACTACAAATTACTAACAACTAAAAAATTTACAAACTAACATAAAACTACAAATTTACAAATTAAAAATATCCCAATCCTGTTGGGAAGTTTTCAATTAAATTTGTAGTTTTATGAAATAGATCTTACTTTTTAATTGTTTTAATAACAGAAATAATGAAACAATTGAATTATGATATAAAATACTGTAATTACTTTTTAATTTTAAAATAAAAAATCTGTTTTTGTTGAAAAACAAGCAAATAAATTATTTTTAAATTCGTAAAGTTTTACATAAATTGAGCATCCAGATTTGATTAGGTGAATACATCTGCCTTTTATATCCAGTAGCTTCAATCATTATTCTACTAACTCTAACCAATGTCAAAAAATAACTGTAGATTCTTTCTTTGAGACACTATATTTCAGTAAAGTACATTGTTTATTTTTTCAAATGTATCTAAATAAGATAAAACATAATGAAATGACTGGGAGAAAATTTGGCTTTTACAATTTGATGGTATGATTGATTTTATTTTATTTCTTTTTATAAAGTTTGCTTAATACAAACATAAATGATACAAAGTACCAATTTTTAAGTCCCTTTGACTTTGTATTAATGGAGCTTGTGACTGTACTTTAAAAATAAGATTTTATTCATAATTTATTTTTAGGATTAATGTTACTTTAGCTTTTATGAGCTATTTCAAACATTTATAGATAAAATGTATTAAGTTTTGTATTTGAACATTTTTGCAAGAAAAAAAAATTAATTAATGATTTTTTTTTACTCTACAGAATTATACATGAATCTGGTTATTCCAAAGAAGAATGTCTTAAATATCGACTAGTTGTACACAGTAACACTATACAAAGTTTAATAATTATTATAAGGGCAATGGGACAGCTAAAAATTAATTTTGGTGATCCTATGAGAACAGTAAGTAATAAGTGTATTTATTTTTATATGATTTTATGCTTGTATGCATTTTAAAGTGTATGTAATGTTAGCAGTGAGAAAAACAAGGAAATATCATTATGTAGCTTATTGTTAATTTAATTTTTGAATTTCATGATTGTAAGCATACTGCAGCAAAAATAATGAGAATGAATTAAAATGAAAATACTTATTTAGATTAAATATTGTTTCAGGAGATTTGTATAAAAAAGAATTAAAAAATTTGCATTGAAGTGTCCTAACAACTGAAATTAATTTATTTGATATGTTTCCATATTACATATTTTAGATTTGGGCTATTTTTATGTGATTTTCATACTATGAAGATAAATTATAAGTAATTTAGAATAAGTCTGTGTTCAGTGAATAAAAATAGAGGCTATGAGCAAGAAATGTGAATATCGTAAATAATTAATCTTCAAATTTCTTTTACAAATTAGTAGACTTGGTCATATGTGAGAACTGCCAATTGTAATTCTAAGACTCCTTCAAATGTAAAACTAGGCAAAAAATTGCAACTTTAAGGTTTTCATTAAAATCAAGTACAAATTTTATTTAAAAATTTTTTCACTTAGTTATATAGAAAAATATTTCAATGTTACATTTTTTACAGTAATTGGGTTTTATATAGATCTGACATAAAATTTAATATTTTCGGTGTTTTTTTAGTCTGATCTCTTATCAAAACAGTGTTGTATAGTCCTTTATATAAAAAATTGTTTATGCCTAGTCTGTATAATGAATATGGTCTTTGATATATATTTTACAGGCATTTTGACTTCAAAAATCTTTCAAAATCTGTGTTCTTTAAGGATTTGTAATCCCTCAACTTTTAGTTATCTTCAAAATATGAAATTTTGAAGTCATGTGATATCCAAATGACAATAGTATGACTCTTACAGGCAATGTTAAAAGATATTGATTCCATGAAATATGTTAACATGTAGATACATATTGAAGCAATTTTAAATTACATCATATGAAAACATTTTGATTTTTTTAATATTCATTTTTTTCATCTACATTATTTTTGAATTAATGTTAACAAACTTTAGACTTTTAAAATCCAGAATGAAATTTGCACAGGAATAGTTTTCAGTTTAGTCATTATCAGATTCATTTAAATAATTTTTTGAATTAGGCATGTGATATGGTTCATATTTGCTTTTCTAGAATATGATAGCTTCTTTCTGTATTCAATTGGAGTAGACAACAACTAATTAAATTAACTGAAAATGTTTATTTTTGTACAGATTTCATTCTGAATATTAAAGTTTTGTTTCTTGAATTCATCCATTGCTTACATTAATGATGTTAATTTCAATGTAAAAATTTTTGACATGTTTTAAATTTTACATTTATTTTTGTATATTTAATTTTAAAAAAAAGAATTTAACAACTTTATAATTTCATATGATAAAAAAATATTAAGTTCCTCATTTTAAGATTATACTTCTATTTTTAAAAGAGAAACTATATAATTATAAGTAATGATAAAGAAATATATTATACAATTTAAATATATTCAATTTTAAGTTTCAATTTCTGTAGGAAGATGCTCGTCAGTTTTTTACAATTGCTGGAACTTCCCAAGAAGGTGAATTGACACCTGAATTAGCAGCAATAATGAAGAAACTGTGGTTAGATTCTGGAGTGCAAGAATGCTTTACACGTTCTAGGGAATATCAGTTAAATGATTCTGCACCATAGTAAGTTAATATAGCAATTACTGTTTATATTGCACAAAAGAGTTGCTTTGAAATTCTAAAGATGTTTAATAAGTTTTAAACTGATAATAATCATTTAATTATATAATTAAATGATTTAAATGGAATATTTTTATAGTATGTTTTTTAAAATGTTTAATTTAATTAATTACAAAACTTTGAATATGCTCCTTTTTGTAAATTTTACTTGTATAGAGATTCTGGGTAATATATAAAATAATTTCTATATTTTAGTTTCACAATCTTATGAACAGATAGTGCTAAAAATAGAAAATATTCTGTCTTGATGTCATATCTTTTCCATATATTTGCTAAATTCTTTATTGTAGATTTTATTAAAATTTTATTAATATAAAACTATTAATATATAAAGAATATTTTTATGAATGTTGAGTTGTATTAAGTTTTTTGTTTTTATGAAGTTCTGTGATATGATTGAAGATGCTTCTTTGAAACCAAAAATCAAATCTGTAAAAAAATTAAAATTTTAAACTTACATTTTAACAGAATTATTATTTAAAACTGTTTATTGATGTCTTAATTTACAAATGTTTAATTTATGAATACATTTGACAAATCCTTAAACTATTTAGGATGTTGTAATAAGATTTTTGATAAAGAAAACTAATTTTATAATTCATTTATGTAGAAAATGTGGGCACTGAATCAAATAGTGAAACTATTGATAGGTAAAAATTTATTAACAATAAAGTGAACTTTCCTATAATGCAAATATGTATAATGCAATGAAAAAATTTTGACTAGCACTCATACAAAATTTTAATTTTATCATCCAAAGGTATACATTTTCTTCTGAACTTCTCAGTTTTATTTGTTTCAGTACACATGGCTAAAACAGCAAATACTTCTTTTAATTTATAACAACAGTATATAATATTTTTAAAAATTTATTTACCTGTATTTTCTGTTTTGCTTTTTTCTTTATTAAAAGAAACTTTCTTTAAAACAAGTTAGTTAACACTCTGCATATAATAAAATCATATTTGAAACTAACACACATCTCATTAGCAATTTACAATCATACTGGAACTCAGACAAGTATAAACTTGAATAAAATTGTCCAGATCTCATGTAACATGATTTTCTATAATATGGAATTTATCTCCCATATTATACAGGTGTCTGCTGTACTATTGTATGTTCTTTTAATTTTTCTGATTATTTTAATTTAAGTAATTAAAAAACAAAATTGTTTGTTTTAACAAGTAAAAAGTTATAATGTATGTATGATCTTAGGAAGGGATCTTTTTCATAAATCAAGAAGTGCCCACATTTATTATTATAATTAAATGAGTATATTATAAAAAATTAATTTATTAGTATGCGTTTTGAAGTTCTGTTGTTGATTTTTTTAAATTTCAGTTCTCCACCTTCTGGACATTAGCAGGGCTTATTTATTGCTATTATGATTTTAGTAGATCCTAATTGGCTGGATGGTAAGGGATGGGTCAAGTATAACAGGGTTAACTTTTTTCTTAAAATTTGATTTGGCCTAGTTACAAACCCAGGTTCCTTAGTGTTCTAGGCTAAAACTTATTGTTTCAGAGGTCATCAAATTTGTATTTTCTTGGTCAACTTATTCAAATTATGAGTATGTTAGATGTTTGTTCACACTGAACTTTTATCTGTTATCTTACTATAATAAAATTTATCAACAGAAATGACAGATATAAACAGAAATGTTTTTATTTGTTTAATACTTTTCTTACTTTAGATCTGATGTAAATATTAAATTGCTACATTTTGTAATAAGCAAATGTCAAAAAAATTTTATTGTAATTTTTTATTTTAGTAAAACATGATTTTGAAATGAAAAAAATTCATGTATAATGAAGTCATGTCCTATAGACATTTTTATTTTTTCTTTTCTCAATTTTATATAATTTTATCTACTATCATATCTGTTTCATTTAAAAAAGATTAATATATATTTTTTGTACAAAATAATGTATATATTTAAATATGAATTTTTACATTTAAATTTTTTTTGTTTGTTTATTTTGAAAATTAGATAATTTGCAGAATAAGGAACTATTGTCAAGTGATTTTTGTTATAACAAATAAAAAATTAGTATAGTTTATTTACTTTCAGTAAATATTGTCAAATATCTACAAACCAAGTTATATTTGAGTTAATTATTAAAATTATTCAATTAGAGTCTGAATTATTCAGTAAATATGGGATATTTGTTATATTATATAGTTATATGTTATATATATATATATATAACATATTTCATTAAAAAACATTAGAGTCATTTATATATTATATATATAGGAATAAATATATGGAAAATGAATAAATATATATATATAAATGATTGTAATGTTTTTTAATGAAATATGTTTCTCAATTTCTGAGTTTATAAATAATAATTAACATTAAACATGAAGTAAAATAACGGGAGTTTCATTTGAGAATATTGTAAAAGATTAATATAAGGTAGTCACACATTTTTCTTAATAAGAAAAGAAAAGTTGTAGATAAGTAACAGCTGTATAAACATGATTTGTTTAAATATATTATAATTTACATTAACATACTATAATATTTTTATATTAATTTGTTGTAATAAACTTTTAAAAGAAAATTTCATTAATTTATAAAAAATTATAGGTACATAATTTGCATGAAATATTAATAAATTTAGTAATATAAATGCAGAAAACCTACTGGTGTTCCAATTAAGACAATCTAATGGTAAACCTGAACTTGTTTTATAACCATGTCTGTTTTAATCAGGAGACAAAGTTCAGTCGGAAAAAGAAATTTTTATTCACTAAGCATTTTGGGATTAAAACATCCCCTCTTCAGGCTACAAAAATATATCTGACATTAGCAATTTTAAATTGACAAAGTAACAAATACAATAAAAATTAAACTACCAATCAGGAACACACCAGTTTTTACATATACACCTCTTGGAGTGTATTGTGATATTAATAAGAGGTGTATATGTAAAAACTGGAGTGTTCCTGATTGGTAGTTTAATTTTTATTGTATTTGTTACTTTGTCAATTTAAAATTGCTAATGTCAGATATATTTTTGTAGCCTGAAGAGGGGATGTTTTAATCCCAAAATGCTTAGTGAATAAAAATTTCTTTTGCCGACTGAACTTTGTCTTCTGATTAAAACAGATGTGATTATAAAACAAGTTTGAGTTTATCGTTTGATAGTCTTAATTGGAACACCAGTAGGTTTTCTGCATTTATATGATATAAAGTCTTCCATAGTGATTTAGTTTCTAAATTGTTGCATAAATTTAATAAATAAAACAATACTTTGTAAAGTTCAATAAGTGCAAGAAATTTATTGTAATAATAAATTATTGTCAAATATATATTAATATATTTTAGGTGAAAGCCTTATACGATAAATAAACTTTGATTTGATTTGATTATTAATATATTTTATAATTACTATAACAATTCTTGAAAAAATAAATCTATATTTTAAAATAAATGCTGAAATTATATATACATTATAAGAGAAAGTGGTGTTAAAATAAAATTCTATTTCATAATTGTTTAAAATAAATTATTTTTTTTAGTTACCTGAATTCTTTGGACAGAATTTCACAACCTAATTATATACCAAGTCAGCAAGATGTTTTGAGAACAAGGATTAAAACAACTGGAATTGTAGAAACACTTTTTACATTCAAAGGTCTTCATTTCAAGTATGTTAGATATTAAAATATTTATCTTCTTATTTAATGAAGTTTTTAAAATAATTGATAAAGTATAAATTGGCAGATTATGAATCTGAATTTTAATTAATTTTTGTTCTTACATTTTTGATATCATATTGAAATTATTTTCCAAGTTATGCAATTTTGTTTATACAACTTCAGCCTCTTCTAATTTGAAAATGTGTATGAAAATTGCTTAATTATATTGTATGATAGTTGCTAGGGGAATTAGAATCTTAGCCATAAGGCATGTTTTTAGTTCCATCACAACTAGATAGATACTATTATACCAGTTGGATACTAATAAATGACTGTTTTTCAGATATTTTCAATTTCTATTCAAGTTTATGAAAGCAATAACAATGTTACATATGATATAATTCTCTACTCATTTTTTTTCATGTAATTTTGCCATATTATTGGGAATTTGAGGATTGCAACTTCTTTTTCAAAAATGTAACAATTCTTGCTTTAAGAAATTGGAATAGGTCAAAGTAGGTGATAAATAGTCTTATGTGTATAGTTGGTTTGAGAGAACTGGCATTTATTTGACTGTTAATGATTTTGGAAACATATCCATTTAGAACATACTGTTATGAACTGAATAATCATCTACATATAGTTAGATAAATTTTTCATAAAAAACAGTCTGAAAATCAAATTATTTGTTTTACTTCCATGAAATAACTAAACAGTTTGACATATCTTTAATAAAAGCTATCTATATTTTGAAATAATCTAGTTTGATGAATATTTGTTCAGTGATGTTAAATGAGATGATGATTGATTTGTAAACATAAATTTTATGTTATAACTTAAATTTATTATTATTTTTAATTATTTTACTCTTGAATTTTATTTATTAATAAATAATTTTAGCATGAAAGACTAATATAATTAAAAGTTATTGATAATTTTTATTTTAATAGAATGTTTGATGTTGGTGGACAGAGATCAGAAAGAAAAAAATGGATTCATTGTTTTGAAAGTGTTACTGCTATTATATTTTGTGTAGCTTTAAGTGGTTATGACTTAGTTCTTGCTGAAGATGAGGAAATGGTAATTAGCTATATTTACAGATTATTAGTAAATTAAAATAATAAATTAATTACTGTTAAAACATTTTATATTTTTATTTCTATTTAGAATCGCATGTCAGAAAGTTTAAAACTTTTTGATTCGATATGTAACAACAAATGGTTTGTTAATACATCCATTATATTATTTTTGAACAAGAAAGATTTATTTGAAGAAAAAATAACTAAATCACCTCTAACGATTTGTTTTCCAGAATATACAGGTAAAAACATTGCATGGTCTTCTATATATTTTTATAACTTTTTAATAAATTTAGTGTTATCAATAAAAGAACACAAAATAGTATTTAGCATATTTCAATAAAACTCCAAATATGATTTTAAAAATAATTTCTAAATTTTTTATTTTAAAAGTTTGAGTTAAAAAAATTTAACTTATACTCTGCTGTATTCACTGTTACCCAGATAAACTCAATAAAATTTCAATTACACATTCAATTCAAATTAACATTCACTTTACCTCAATTTTAGATTTAAGTCTAGATTGCAATTTAACTTGTCAATAATGATGAATTTATTCTAAATTATGGATTAATGGCAAGTATTGTATGAGTTCATTGTGAAACAACACAGATATTAAATTTTTAAAATAATCTTACTCTTTCAAGAAGCTGAAAATAAGCAGTTATATCAGAAATAAATAGATGGTTTCTGGATATTTATAAAATTCTTTTTTAGCAAAATTACAATTGCTTACTATTTTGTGCTGTTATTTCAGGTAACTATTACATTCTGTCCTTGTACTCTTTCGTATCTGTTATGTATACATAACAGCCAGGAAAAGTATTAATAACAAGGGAAATTATTGGAATCATATAAAATTTGACCTTCCAAGTTTTTTGTAAGTCTCCATATTTTGAGACCTCCTTAATCCAAAAATTTCAAAAAAAGAAAAAGCAAAAATATTGAGTATGTGTTGAGATCTATTTTGCTTAATATCTCAGGATTGATTAAAGATTAAGTAACAAAATTTGGCATGGTGGCTTGTACACAAGGAGCATTGATGCTATTAATTAAATTTTGGCAGTTAAAGGGGTGGGGAAATAAAGGGATTATGTATATCCCCAGTAGGGTCAGATTTAATGACGATTTTACCTATTATTAACATTTATACTTTTTATAAAATTCTTCCCTACTATCAAAATTAAGCATTTTGCCATTTTAAAGTAATTAAAAATATGTTTTTTATAACAAAATCGCATAACAGATGGCGCTACAGAATTTTATTAAGTTACTAGCTGCAAGGACCCGCTTTGCTGGGTTTTTATTTGTATGTAATATAGTTTTTTTTTTATATATATAAAAGACTGTTTTTCTAAGTAATCTAGAATCTAGCTGCAAGGACCCGCTTCGCTGGGCAAAAAGTAACGATAGTGAAGATTAAGATAATTACATTATAGCTNATAACTGCTTATTTTCAGCTTCTTGAAAGAGTAAGATTATTTTAAAAATTTAATATCTGTGTTGTTTCACAATGAACTCATACAATACTTGCCATTAATCCATAATTTAGAATAAATTCATCATTATTGACAAGTTAAATTGCAATCTAGACTTAAATCTAAAATTGAGGTAAAGTGAATGTTAATTTGAATTGAATGTGTAATTGAAATTTTATTGAGTTTATCTGGGTAACAGTGAATACAGCAGAGTATAAGTTAAATTTTTTTAACTCAAACTTTTAAAATAAAAAATTTAGAAATTATTTTTAAAATCATATTTGGAGTTTTATTGAAATATGCTAAATACTATTTTGTGTTCTTTTATTGATAACACTAAATTTATTAAAAAGTTATAAAAATATATAGAAGACCATGCAATGTTTTTACCTGTATATTCTGGAAAACAAATCGTTAGAGGTGATTTAGTTATTTTTTCTTCAAATAAATCTTTCTTGTTCAAAAATAATATAATGGATGTATTAACAAACCATTTGTTGTTACATATCGAATCAAAAAGTTTTAAACTTTCTGACATGCGATTCTAAATAGAAATAAAAATATAAAATGTTTTAACAGTAATTAATTTATTATTTTAATTTACTAATAATCTGTAAATATAGCTAATTACCATTTCCTCATCTTCAGCAAGAACTAAGTCATAACCACTTAAAGCTACACAAAATATAATAGCAGTAACACTTTCAAAACAATGAATCCATTTTTTTCTTTCTGATCTCTGTCCACCAACATCAAACATTCTATTAAAATAAAAATTATCAATAACTTTTAATTATATTAGTCTTTCATGCTAAAATTATTTATTAATAAATAAAATTCAAGAGTAAAATAATTAAAAATAATAATAAATTTAAGTTATAACATAAAATTTATGTTTACAAATCAATCATCATCTCATTTAACATCACTGAACAAATATTCATCAAACTAGATTATTTCAAAATATAGATAGCTTTTATTAAAGATATGTCAAACTGTTTAGTTATTTCATGGAAGTAAAACAAATAATTTGATTTTCAGACTGTTTTTTATGAAAAATTTATCTAACTATATGTAGATGATTATTCAGTTCATAACAGTATGTTCTAAATGGATATGTTTCCAAAATCATTAACAGTCAAATAAATGCCAGTTCTCTCAAACCAACTATACACATAAGACTATTTATCACCTACTTTGACCTATTCCAATTTCTTAAAGCAAGAATTGTTACATTTTTGAAAAAGAAGTTGCAATCCTCAAATTCCCAATAATATGGCAAAATTACATGAAAAAAAATGAGTAGAGAATTATATCATATGTAACATTGTTATTGCTTTCATAAACTTGAATAGAAATTGAAAATATCTGAAAAACAGTCATTTATTAGTATCCAACTGGTATAATAGTATCTATCTAGTTGTGATGGAACTAAAAACATGCCTTATGGCTAAGATTCTAATTCCCCTAGCAACTATCATACAATATAATTAAGCAATTTTCATACACATTTTCAAATTAGAAGAGGCTGAAGTTGTATAAACAAAATTGCATAACTTGGAAAATAATTTCAATATGATATCAAAAATGTAAGAACAAAAATTAATTAAAATTCAGATTCATAATCTGCCAATTTATACTTTATCAATTATTTTAAAAACTTCATTAAATAAGAAGATAAATATTTTAATATCTAACATACTTGAAATGAAGACCTTTGAATGTAAAAAGTGTTTCTACAATTCCAGTTGTTTTAATCCTTGTTCTCAAAACATCTTGCTGACTTGGTATATAATTAGGTTGTGAAATTCTGTCCAAAGAATTCAGGTAACTAAAAAAAATAATTTATTTTAAACAATTATGAAATAGAATTTTATTTTAACACCACTTTCTCTTATAATGTATATATAATTTCAGCATTTATTTTAAAATATAGATTTATTTTTTCAAGAATTGTTATAGTAATTATAAAATATATTAATAATCAAATCAAATCAAAGTTTATTTATCGTATAAGGCTTTCACCTAAAATATATTAATATATATTTGACAATAATTTATTATTACAATAAATTTCTTGCACTTATTGAACTTTACAAAGTATTGTTTTATTTATTAAATTTATGCAACAATTTAGAAACTAAATCACTATGGAAGACTTTATATCATATAAATGCAGAAAACCTACTGGTGTTCCAATTAAGACTATCAAACGATAAACTCAAACTTGTTTTATAATCACATCTGTTTTAATCAGAAGACAAAGTTCAGTCGGCAAAAGAAATTTTTATTCACTAAGCATTTTGGGATTAAAACATCCCATCTTCAGGCTACAAAAATATATCTGACATTAGCAATTTTAAATTGACAAAGTAACAAATACAATAAAAATTAAACTACCAATCAGGAACACACCAGTTTTTACATATACACCTCTTGGAGTGTATTGTGATATTAATAAGAGGTGTATATGTAAAAACTGGAGTGTTCCTGATTGGTAGTTTAATTTTTATTGTATTTGTTACTTTGTCAATTTAAAATTGCTAATGTCAGATATATTTTTGTAGCCTGAAGATGGGATGTTTTAATCCCAAAATGCTTAGTGAATAAAAATTTCTTTTGCCGACTGAACTTTGTCTTCTGATTAAAACAGATGTGATTATAAAACAAGTTTGAGTTTATCGTTTGATAGTCTTAATTGGAACACCAGTAGGTTTTCTGCATTTATATGATATAAAGTCTTCCATAGTGATTTAGTTTCTAAATTGTTGCATAAATTTAATAAATAAAACAATACTTTGTAAAGTTCAATAAGTGCAAGAAATTTATTGTAATAATAAATTATTGTCAAATATATATTAATATATTTTAGGTGAAAGCCTTATACGATAAATAAACTTTGATTTGATTTGATTATTAATATATTTTATAATTACTATAACAATTCTTGAAAAAATAAATCTATATTTTAAAATAAATGCTGAAATTATATATACATTATAAGAGAAAGTGGTGTTAAAATAAAATTCTATTTCATAATTGTTTAAAATAAATTATTTTTTTTAGTTACCTGAATTCTTTGGACAGAATTTCACAACCTAATTATATACCAAGTCAGCAAGATGTTTTGAGAACAAGGATTAAAACAACTGGAATTGTAGAAACACTTTTTACATTCAAAGGTCTTCATTTCAAGTATGTTAGATATTAAAATATTTATCTTCTTATTTAATGAAGTTTTTAAAATAATTGATAAAGTATAAATTGGCAGATTATGAATCTGAATTTTAATTAATTTTTGTTCTTACATTTTTGATATCATATTGAAATTATTTTCCAAGTTATGCAATTTTGTTTATACAACTTCAGCCTCTTCTAATTTGAAAATGTGTATGAAAATTGCTTAATTATATTGTATGATAGTTGCTAGGGGAATTAGAATCTTAGCCATAAGGCATGTTTTTAGTTCCATCACAACTAGATAGATACTATTATACCAGTTGGATACTAATAAATGACTGTTTTTCAGATATTTTCAATTTCTATTCAAGTTTATGAAAGCAATAACAATGTTACATATGATATAATTCTCTACTCATTTTTTTTCATGTAATTTTGCCATATTATTGGGAATTTGAGGATTGCAACTTCTTTTTCAAAAATGTAACAATTCTTGCTTTAAGAAATTGGAATAGGTCAAAGTAGGTGATAAATAGTCTTATGTGTATAGTTGGTTTGAGAGAACTGGCATTTATTTGACTGTTAATGATTTTGGAAACATATCCATTTAGAACATACTGTTATGAACTGAATAATCATCTACATATAGTTAGATAAATTTTTCATAAAAAACAGTCTGAAAATCAAATTATTTGTTTTACTTCCATGAAATAACTAAACAGTTTGACATATCTTTAATAAAAGCTATCTATATTTTGAAATAATCTAGTTTGATGAATATTTGTTCAGTGATGTTAAATGAGATGATGATTGATTTGTAAACATAAATTTTATGTTATAACTTAAATTTATTATTATTTTTAATTATTTTACTCTTGAATTTTATTTATTAATAAATAATTTTAGCATGAAAGACTAATATAATTAAAAGTTATTGATAATTTTTATTTTAATAGAATGTTTGATGTTGGTGGACAGAGATCAGAAAGAAAAAAATGGATTCATTGTTTTGAAAGTGTTACTGCTATTATATTTTGTGTAGCTTTAAGTGGTTATGACTTAGTTCTTGCTGAAGATGAGGAAATGGTAATTAGCTATATTTACAGATTATTAGTAAATTAAAATAATAAATTAATTACTGTTAAAACATTTTATATTTTTATTTCTATTTAGAATCGCATGTCAGAAAGTTTAAAACTTTTTGATTCGATATGTAACAACAAATGGTTTGTTAATACATCCATTATATTATTTTTGAACAAGAAAGATTTATTTGAAGAAAAAATAACTAAATCACCTCTAACGATTTGTTTTCCAGAATATACAGGTAAAAACATTGCATGGTCTTCTATATATTTTTATAACTTTTTAATAAATTTAGTGTTATCAATAAAAGAACACAAAATAGTATTTAGCATATTTCAATAAAACTCCAAATATGATTTTAAAAATAATTTCTAAATTTTTTATTTTAAAAGTTTGAGTTAAAAAAATTTAACTTATACTCTGCTGTATTCACTGTTACCCAGATAAACTCAATAAAATTTCAATTACACATTCAATTCAAATTAACATTCACTTTACCTCAATTTTAGATTTAAGTCTAGATTGCAATTTAACTTGTCAATAATGATGAATTTATTCTAAATTATGGATTAATGGCAAGTATTGTATGAGTTCATTGTGAAACAACACAGATATTAAATTTTTAAAATAATCTTACTCTTTCAAGAAGCTGAAAATAAGCAGTTATATCAGAAATAAATAGATGGTTTCTGGATATTTATAAAATTCTTTTTTAGCAAAATTACAATTGCTTACTATTTTGTGCTGTTATTTCAGGTAACTATTACATTCTGTCCTTGTACTCTTTCGTATCTGTTATGTATACATAACAGCCAGGAAAAGTATTAATAACAAGGGAAATTATTGGAATCATATAAAATTTGACCTTCCAAGTTTTTTGTAAGTCTCCACATTTTGAGACCTCCTTAATCCAAAAATTTCAAAAAAAGAAAAAGCAAAAATATTGAGTATGTGTTGAGATCTATTTTGCTTAATATCTCAGGATTGATTAAAGATTAAGTAACAAAATTTGGCATGGTGGCTTGTACACAAGGAGCATTGATGCTATTAATTAAATTTTGGCAGTTAAAGGGGTGGGGAAATAAAGGGATTATGTATATCCCCAGTAGGGTCAGATTTAATGACGATTTTACCTATTATTAACATTTATACTTTTTATAAAATTCTTCCCTACTATCAAAATTAAGCATTTTGCCATTTTAAAGTAATTAAAAATATGTTTTTTATAACAAAATCGCATAACAGATGGCGCTACAGAATTTTATTAAGTTACTAGCTGCAAGGACCCGCTTTGCTGGGTTTTTATTTGTATGTAATATAGTTTTTTTTTTATATATATAAAAGACTGTTTTTCTAAGTAATCTAGAATCTAGCTGCAAGGACCCGCTTCGCTGGGCAAAAAGTAACGATAGTGAAGATTAAGATAATTACATTATAGCCAATCTTACCCGTTTTCACAGAATGCAAGAATTAGGTCCCTCATTTCCAGACTAATTAGAGAATTTTTACATGAGTCTAAAAATGTTTGATTTCCCGCAAAAATGCAAAAAACCGCCTGTAAATCTTGCATGCCGCTTTATATTAACACTTCCTTTGTTACTCAACACTTCCACTGTTAACACTTCTATTGTTGACGCTTCCATTGTTACACATCTTTGAAGTCAACCACTTTCAACCCCCTATCTCCCACACCCTTATAGCACAGAATGCAAGAATTAGGTTCCTTGTTTCCTGACTAATTAGAGAATTTTTACGTCCAGTCAAATGAACTATTTTCAATTTGATCAATTTTCTGGAACGTTTACAATCGTTCTATAATCGAACCAATTCGAATTTAAGTTCGAATTTAAAACGGTTCGAACATGTTTAAAATCAAAATAGAAAATATTCAAAGTCAACCACTTTAAGCCCCCATATCTCCCGCACCCTTATAGCTATCGAGACGCAACCACTATAGTTCAAGAAGGAGACTTGGGGCTACTACCACATACAAACACCATTCATGTGCAATGTGTAGTTTTGGCTGAAAAGTGAAATATAAGGACACACACGTCCATTTATATATATATATATTGTAATTAAAATTATAAAAGTAATTTTCGAAATAAGATTTCATAATAGTCAGGAAAGTTATGCAACTTGTTTCTGGATTTTTGTTTTGTTTATTTATTAGTGCATCTTTTTTTGTAATACACTTTTGCACTTTTAAAGGAAGATATTAAATTTCATTTCAATTGGTATGGTTTTGTTGTTGTTGTTGTTGTTAAAATCTATGAATAATTGTCATTATCTATGAAACTTTGAAGTCATAGCTTAGTTTGCACATAACAATTTGTCTAAATGAATTGACATTTCTACACAAATCAAAGAATTTCTAACATAACTATTTCAATTCAAAGATTTCTTAAACTAGTATTACAGTGGGCTGGTGAATATGAAAAGTAAAGTATACTCATAATCTAGAATTACAAGCAGAATATCAGCTTATGAAATGTTCAATTTGAAATGTTTTTACTGAATACGGTTATAAAAGTTTCAGCAGTGATCTGCATCTTATTCAGAAGTTACTCTCAACATATTTAAAATATTGATATTTCAGACATACTGAAATAAGATATGCTGATTTTCTCATATTGTTAACTTAAAATATTAGATTTAGTTTTTGAAAAAGTCAATATTTTTAACTACATTAATTTTTTAAAGTATTTTATTGAGTTACTTCATAAAAATGTAGAAAAACATTAAATTAGAATGAAACATGACACACAGTTAAATAAACAATTCTTTGTTTGTTCAACATTATCACGAGAAATTTTAATTATAAGTACAGTAGAGTCCTGGAAATCCTTGATAACTTGACAGATCCTTGACATTTTGTAAAAGTTGTCATGTTCAAAAAGAAAATGAAAAGAAACATAATCTAATTTCTATCTTTATAACTTAACACTAGGATCAAATAAGTTATTATTATTCACTGGTGATACTTGATAATAGAATAGTATCAATTCCTTGTGTTAACCAAGAATATAAACCTCTTTCCAAGGTGTTACTGCAAAATGCCATGTCACTTAGAGTAGTCAATGAATAGCCAATATATTTCTTAATTAAAATTTAATTACAAATAGAAATGGTCATTATCAGTACACACTTAATAAACACATGAATTTGCACATATAATATCATTACTAAAATTCCTCTATTTAGACTATCATCATCACTATGCAGTAAAACTCATCATTTTCAGTAACTCGTCACCTTCTCAGTTCATATTAAGTCAAGTTTACAGGACTTGGCTGTATTATTACAATATTTTATTATTACATCCAGAAAAATTATTATTTTAGTAATCAAATCAAGAAATATTTTAGGAAGTGTTGTGTTTTTATATGTTCAAGTTAACAAAAGAGAGCAGCAGAAATTTCTTTAAATTTTAATAAAAACAATTTAATATAATTTACTCAAAAAATAAGGTAAAACTTGTTATTAATTGTTATATTGACAATATAGTGATATGATTTAGTACTGATGTGAGTTAAATATCATTTCTAGTCATCATTATTCCGGCAAATATTAATTAAATTAAGCAAGAATTGAATAATTAAATTATATTTTAGTAAAATATAAAAAACCATAATAAAAATGAATTTCATGCCATATTGATTTACTGGTATTATTAGATGGTGGCACTTGTCTAAGTAAGAATAGACTTTGTACTTTTTAATTTAAAATGTGCCAATGTTTTAATCTTTGTTTAAAATCCATCCAAGTTTATTCTTGAGTACTAAAAATTTTTAGTTTTTTACTATGTATCGTACCTCTCCTGTTTACTTTAATTGCCTATTATTATTAAAAATAATAATAATTTGCTGTTTGCAATTTAAGAATGGAAAATATAAAGAATAATTTAATTATATACAGCCTAACTTTTGCAATAAATTTAAAAGCTATTATTAACCACAACATAAACTGGCCATATTTGCTAGAAATAACACAAAAACACCAAAGAAATCAAGGAAAAAACAGTTTTTTTGTGATACTAATGATTTCATTCATAAACAAATGAAAATGTTATTAATATAAAAACTTTTATTCTTTTACTGGTTTTTTTTTTGTGTTATTTGTGCAAAAGTTATTTTCACTTAATTTTTTTTTTGTTGGGGGAAGCTTATTGTACTGTTGCTTACTAAATATATTTATACTGTGCAGACAATATGATTTACTAACTTAGAAGTAATTGTAATGTATGTATATGTTACTGGCCAAACCCAATTTCAGGCCAAACTAGTTTGTCCTACACGTGTCAGGATATACTAGTTTAGCCTAGGACAGTCTAGTTTGGCATAAATACTTTAGGCTTAACTAGTTTGTCCTAGACCGAACTGATTTAGAATTATTATTTAAGTTAGGCCTGGCCAACCTAAATTTTTTCGCGGGCCACTTTGATCATGTGTAACATTACAATGGGCCACAATTTAGGCAAACATGCTTTTAAAAAAGTAAAACAAATACAAAATGAATAAGATTTCATTGTTATACCAAGAGTTTGTACTCGCACTTGCGCATTATAACAATGACACATGCAAATTTTCATTTACTTAATTGTTTTGGTATACACAAAACAGAAAACGAAAGTTTTAATGGATATATAATGTCGCTTAGCAGGCCACACAATTTAATGTGACGAGCCGCATGCGGCCAGGCCTGATTGAAGTATATTAATGGTTAAAATAAAATTAAAAGGCAATCAATTAGATGAACAATATTTATTCAAACATAGTCTACTTAATTATAAAAAACTGTATTGATTAGAAGTGACACAATACTTGTACAAAACTATAAAATAAAAATAAGCTAATCAGTACTTATCAGTTTGTATTTTTTTATTAAGCCATGCACTTTTAAAGGTAATTAACAATCGAAAATATTTTCAAAAATTCAAACGAAATAATAAAAATAAATTTTAAAGTCAAACTAAAATTAAAAATGAAGTTGTTTGTGTTTCTTAGTGTAACATATAAAATATTTAATCTTTTATTTATTTTTACAGGGTGGGTTAAGTGTACCTAGGTAACCTCAATGGCGGCACTTCTGACGAACAGTCAGAAGTGCAGGCAGCCCATTGTTTAACGTCACTAGTTATTGATTCACAGTAGTTCTTGAACAAAAGAAAAAAAAGGAAATGTCTACTAAAAATGTAGTTAACCTAACCAAACCAGCCTAGCAGAAGCACCGCCATTGGGG